TATGCAAAGATTATCATTATGAGAGCTGCAAAAACGCAAAGCGTCGTTGATGTAGTGTCTGGTAGACAAAGTGCATGTCTTAGTAGTCGATGCCGTTGTAGAAACAAATTCCAACTGTCAGCAATGTAAACGATACTGTGATTGAAATTTACGTAATGTAAATAATGCAAATTATATTAACTCAACAACCAATATAACTTACATGTTGTTTTTTATTAAGGACGGTTATTATGTATAATTTGTGTCGCTATATAAATCCCGGATTTATATATATAATTTGTGGCAGATCCCCCCAGAACGCAATTTATACATATTCTGCGTCAATTTTTGGTATACACCTAGACAACAGTTATATTTAACAAACATGTGAGCTATTCCGGATTATGACAGTCGGATTTTAAATCTACCCTTTAATGTTATTCTTATGCTATCTGCACTTGACCATTAATAATAAAAAAGATTTACTTCTCAACATCTTTTTACCTATTGAGACTCTATTATTGAACGCAATTTTTTTTTCATGCTATTCTGCTAAAAGATCCCGGACATTATTTTTTTTTTACTATGTCAATTAGTTTATTAAGATACAATAAGACTCAAAAGGTGGTCAAAGGCAATTTCATGTTATCACAGTGGAGCACAAAAATTTATGAAAATCATTCGAGGGAACATTTCCCATGACTATAATAAAAATCACCATCCATTTCTCGTTATCCGATCAACGAACTATAGTAGTCCAGCGAAGTAATAGTAATCATAGATGTCTAGTTTCGTTAGCGATTTCTTTGTCGGTTTATTAGCGATTCACTGTAGTGGTCTATGGTAACTATGGATCCTATGGTTTCGTTAGCGATTCTTTGTTCTGGTCTACCAAGTCGTCCTGATAACGCAGGTTTCCACACACCTTTATTTACATCCGCCTTTTTTAGTCGTGGACCGACTTAAAAGCCTTAACAGGCGCGAAACGCGTATTTTTTCAGTAGTTATATGTATGAAATGGCTCCTTCCAAAAGAGTTTAACAATATGATGGTTTTAGGTAGTTATTTCGTTTACCCTTGAGAATAGTGGCAAGGTTCAAGCGCTTAAAAAATGAAACTAGGAAAGCAGTCATCACAACGAAGTAGTATGTATGCCTTTATTGAAATTTCGTAACTAATGTACACAATATGAAAACGAATTCTATGAAAACTTTCCCGATCCTATATATTAAATAGTTCGTGCTAACAGCATTTCCCCGACGTTTAGTTTACAAAAATCGTATGTATTTTTTCATAATCAGCCGCATTCCGCAACTTAATATCGTGTCGGAGAGTGCCTCTTGAGATAGCCATTTCAGTGGGAATGGAAGATTCGGGAAGTGGAACTTGGATACGACCGACAAATGGGGGCTCGAACCCAATATGACCCTGCAGGTTCAATTCATCGAATTAGAAATCATATTTATTGCGTCGCAAAGACCAGGTTTCTAGCTCCCTTACCTTCGATGTCTTAGTCTTTTTCAGTTTCCCTAATTGTTGCATTTTTGATTTCAATTCATTGCTACGTTTTTGCAAAGTATACATGGTTGACTGTTGGGCATGGAAATGATATTCTGGCATGTTTTTTCTAGGTTGCCACCCTTTATGAGCTGTTGTCGTCTTGCTCAAATCAATAATACGTGGGGATGCGCTAGCAGCACGAAAATCCTAAAACAAAAAGATAATTGCTGAATACACACCATTATAAATTAGTTATGAAATATGAAGTCACAAGCTATAAACCTTGAGTAATGTTTTTGCTTCTGTAGCCATGGATTTAAATAAATCGTCGCTGCGCGCGTCCTTTGATTTGTTAGGAAGAAGGTGTAGATTCAATACCGTCATCGCATCTTTTCCTTTCAGATGAGCGTTCTCTGCCCGCAAATAACGAACAGCAAACTTGAGAGATTCGATCTGTGTGAAAGAATTTCATGCAGATTAAGATGAAGAGATAGTACCAAATTAGCATCGCAGAGAAATGTTATCCGTTCAAATACCTGACTTGCAAGACGTTGAGTCTCAATTGGATTGATGTCGGAAGGCATTGTCGTTTCTTCAATTTCTTCGTCGTCCGGAATAGCAAAGGTTTGATTGACAGGCGAGCTTTGACGTCCTGCAAGCGATAGTCAAATAACTTAACATAAACTCGCCATATTAACAAGGAATTATGAAAGATTAAAAGAACGTTGATACATGTACCAGTCTCCTCCAAAGTCTTCGCAAGGCTTTTGAACTGCCTATTTTCTTGTTCCAGAGAATCAATATCCGCATGAAGATTCTCCATAGTCTTTTCGAAAACGTTCTGTTGCTTCCGCGTTTCGGTAAGCTGTTCTTCCAGTTCAGCGATTAAATCAGCCTATACAAATTCAATGTTAGAATCGACTACTTTGACGTGAGATGTTCTAAAGTTTCAATCTCACCTGTTTCTTAGCAGTCTCCATCCGTTTCTCGAGAAGATCTATCTTAATCTGGTTCTCCTGTAAACTTTGATCCTATATCCAAACGAACAGATTCATTAATCAATAATCTAATAAACGAAACGGTACCAAAAAAATCCTAAACAAATTGTATTTACTTTTAATTTTAGTTCTTTGAAAAGTTCACGAATTTCCTCTGCAGCTTGCTGAAGTTTACGCTCCATATCCACATTCACTGCGACTTCCGCCTTGATGTTCTTGGCTCTTATAACCCACGGTGATTCGCCTTTGCTGACTAACTCGGCGTTAAAGGTAGTTAGCATCGTCAAGCAGCAATATCTTCAGCATAGCTGAGAGCAACTTACTTGGTTCGGTTCGATCATTGTCACTAGCAGCATTGTTAAGATTACCCACGTCTTGGAATAACTCCTGTATCATTTTTGCACAGCCTTCCCATATCTGCATTTCGTTCACGCCGAGAATATCTTCTGTCGCTTTGTAGACGACGTGGTGCAAGCCACTGAGTTGTAAGACTTCCTTTGAGCCTTTCCTTTCATTTATATATATGGAAATGCCTTTCCGTACCTATAATTATATAATAGTTGGTACGAATCTCAAAAATAATAACAGCGCATATATTCATAACTTATCATACCTCCTGCCAAAAATTGGCAATTTTGACACTCAACAAGTAACAGCTCTTAAACTGCGAAAGTAGGTCCAGCTTTAAAGTAAAATCTTGCCCACTCAAGTCATCTAAGCGTCGTAATAATTTCCTGCACATTTACAGAGGTTCAGCATAACTCATTCATATCATATCATATCAACAATGAAGATAAAAAATTTTACCTCGCGACTACCTTACTACTTTTCGCTTGAGAGAATAGGCTTTGCACAGGCTGGAAGAAGTCACTGTTAAATAGTTCGCTTCCATCCGTGACAGTAATCTCTACGGAAAAACAAGTTTCGTTTATTTATGTTGTGTGCGTTTGCTCGCAAAAATTAGAAACAAACCTTCATCTTTACAAGCAAGTGCAACCGCTTGCTTTACATGACCAAGTGTTACAGAAATAGTATCTGCATTCAAATCGATGGCCCTAGCAAAGCCATAGAATTTGTCACCTTCGTCCACTCTCGTACTAGATAGGTAAAGCTCTGCGAGATGCTCTAACTGAACAATAGATCTATTCACAGATTAGATTCGAATCAGTTAGTCGTGTTATGTTTATACTTGAAAGAAAAGAAGATACTTACTTCTGTACATCACCGATGTAGTCGTTTTCCTTCAATTCTTCTATCCGCAGAAGCTCGACGATATGATTTAGCCTGATCGTACCATTCAATCAGTTTCAAGTTGACCTTGAGAATTTTGCACATACCAGGTACAAACCTACGCTCTGTTCCAACGAGATCCTGATATACTTGACCCATTTTCAGGAAAGTCTCAACGTTACAACAATTTATAAACGACACAAATCGTTTACTCAAGTCCGCAAACCAAGCAAGTTTTTGTCTCATCTTTAACAACGCATGAATCAGAATCGTATTGGTAAGCAAGTCTAAAATTTAACATTTTTGAAGATTCAAATTGTTACCTCACAGACGGAAATGAGTTCTTCGGGCACGGTGGAGTTCAACTTCTCAGGGATATTGTGGATTTGATCGAGCTGCTTAATTATTAGATCGGATTTGAACACAAGACGCTTCATCAACAGAAGGCATCTTATAGAATCGTTATCATTCGTGAAGAAAGAGTCAGGAAGATATGCCTATGTCGATACAATGAACGTTTAGTTAGAGTATACATTCAAGAAAATATGATTACTTGACAGCTTCTCAAACCAGGAAACTCACTTGAACGTATGCTAAATTGTCTGAAGCTTGGGTAGCATCAAGCTTACGTAACTCCAAATCAATTTGTTTAGCTTGCGCCTTCATCACAGTTGATTGCAACTGATAGTTCAAGTTAAGCATGGCTTGTGACCGGCTGCTAAAATCGTTCGACTCTGAGGAATGGCTCGCTTCTCGTTGCCGCATTTGTTCAAGGTCACTAAAAAAACAAATTAGTATCATCAAGAATGCGTTCAGAGTAAGTCTTCCAAAAGTACCTTTGAAGATTCGCTACAAGCTCACGGAATTGATTGATAGTATTTTCATAGTCTGCATTTGTCTCGTCTGCGACCTCAAGGCGTTTCACGAAATCACGAATTTGTATATCCTTATGATCTAGTTAGAAATTTTACATAAATACTAGCAACCGTCAAATATGCTTGCTTAAAACCGCCAGACACGTACCAATCTCTGCTTGCAGTTGTTTCTCGTTCTCAATATGACTTTCTTCGAGCTCATCAGCAAGTTCCTTGAGAGCCTCGAGATCTTCTATGGTTGCCTTCATCTCTTCAAGTTTCTATTGAGAAATAAAATCGCGGGTAAAAAGTTGCATCTTATGCCAACGAATCACTGATAGTATCTACCTCTCCCATGGCCAGATTCTTCTCAGTGAGCCTCTCAACCATATCTTCGGCCCCGAGTGCATCATCCAGTTGCAATTTTAAGTCTTCAATATGACTATCAGCAGTTCTCAGCTGTTGTTTTAACTGATCACATTGCACTGTGAAGATAAAAACCTTAGAAAGAGATATCTTCGGCAATCACGAACTTTAGTTTCATTACCTTGTATGTCCTGTAATGAGGTAAGCTCTTTTTCTGCAGCCTTTAGCTTCTTTTGCAATTCGGCCTCTTGTTCACTTGTTACATCACGTAGTCTGAAAAACCATTACGATCCAAGTTAATATGTTTCTCGAACTCGTAGATACTTCTCTTGCACGTTTTGTTAATACCTGACAAGAGCCTCCTTTAATCGTGCGTTCTGCCGTTCAAGCTGACGAACTTCAACGGCTGGTCGAGCATCACTTCCGTCTCCTTGATGAAAGAGTTCTTTATGACGAATAAAGGATGAGAAAGTTATCGACAATTGGATACGACTACGATCAAATAAAAACTCTGCCTGCCTTCTTGCTTAAAGACATTCAAATCAACGCTGATCTCCTCAATCTTTTCTTTTAATTGGATAACTTCATGTTGCAAATTCTCCACTCTCTCTTCAGCCACTTCCTTATCTAGTGTCATCATCTCCATATTTTCAGAGACCTCATTATACCTAGCCTCGAAAAGCTCTTTCTCTGAAATAGCTTCTTTAAGCTGCCTCCTCAAATCACGCATCTCTGCCTGCATGTCAGCCAACTTGACTGAGATAAAAAGTCTTTAAATTACAGGTTGGTCAAAATAATAACATTAGAACTGAAACTTGCGTGAGCAAACCTTGAAGTTTCGGTTTTACACTGAGAAATTGTTCAGCTTCTTGCTTCATCTTCTCGGTTTCTCGCATTTTCTCACGATCCTCTGCCCTCTTATTTTCCAGTATTTTGAGTTTCAATCGGAGTTCTTCATAATCTTTGAGCGGTACCATCTGCAAAAGTCTGAACTGGTTAAAGAACTCATTACCAATACGCAAGAAATTAGAATTAACTTACTGTTCTCTTACCTGCTCACGCGTGTAAGATGACTCCTGTAGTGAAAATGGATCAGACAAACTGCTCGCTGTTGTTTCTGTTGCAGTTGTGTAAACTTCAGCCTTTGGTAATAACTCTTCTGTAACCATGTCTTCTTTAGCCTCGTCAACAGTGTCATCCATCAAATCCGTATCATCCTCACCGCCGTCATCGAGCTCACTCAAACTCATTATGCTCATCCTCTTCATATCAATATTACTAACTTCTGATGGCAACCGTTGTCTTTTTGCAAATGTAGGACTAGTTGGAGTACGAACATGAGCTGCATTTGCCCTGGAGCCTGTTGGGGAAGGCGTCCCTCGAGACGATCTAGGCGTTGTTGCTGTGTTTATTCTGCTAGGTATGCTGCTATTAGATATTATTGAAGATGATCGAAGACGTGATCTCGCAGTAGCCGCCTGCGGATCGTGTGCAGGCGCAAACTGTGTTGCATCGCCTTGGGGGGTTTTCTTTGAGAGTATTCATAATTAGTCTTCATGTAACGTTTGCGACAGCTGTCTTGTGTAATTAATTTCGATTGTCTTTTTGCCAATAGCTTACCGAACGATCTTGAGTGGGACTGTTTGGTCCGACAATTGTTTTTAATTGTGAAGGCCTTACGAATACTCCGTGTTTTTCTTTACATTCAAAATATTTTTTGCCCTTGACTGAACCGTCGTTCTTCCCATTCGGTTCATCCAACTCGACACCAACCCATTTGCCAGAAGAGAAGCTTGTAACTCCTATAAAACGTATGACACCCCAGCTTCCATTAATCTCGCATCTTGCCCCTACTTGTAAATTAGCTGTAGCCATATATCTCTGTGAACGAAGAGAATAAGATACTTTAGAAACAAGCCAGTTGCCCCTTGATTATAACAAAATGGTAGTCCGCAGTGCAGGTGCACAGACTGTTGCCAATTGCGGACATTTTGCGCAAATTACACTTGATTTCACAAGCTAATACTAACGTCATTATCAGAGGTTCAGTGACATAATATAATAAGAAAAATAATTTTTAATAATAAATGTGGGCAGATTAAAACGAAATCGGATTAAACCGAAATTTGGTGTCTTTTTGGATCCTCTTTTAATGCCTCCGAAACCCACATATACTCTTCTATTAATATTAACAAGGTTACCCTAAATCCCAATCCAAATCCCTAGAAAGTTGCCTCCCAAATATTTTAAATTTTCATTTTAATCCGATTTCGTTTTAATCCGTCATAATAAATACATTCCTAAATAAACGACGTATGACGTCTCCACCTCAAAAAAAAAAAGGAAAAAAGAAAAGAAAAAAAATACTACGTTCAACGCCAAAAACTTCAATGATAATGATACTAATCTCAAATGTGTTTTTGAAATTCCTATGACATTCATGATGAAGTAAACATTGGGCAACTCTCATGGTGAACCTCTTTCAAACAAAGCTTGAATATGATAGCTGCCTTGTTACAAATCGCCTTGGTAAATGAAAGCCAAGGCCCTTTATTTCTATGCAAATGTTTGAATTAAAAATTTTAATTAACTATATTAATATGCACAGTGAAATCTATTTAACGAAGTATCACTTTAAGATAGCTTTATAACGAAGCTCTATTTTATATAAAAAGATAGTTTGATTAAGCGAACTTTCAGATTAACGAAGAAAAACTGTGGAGCGAATGTCTTTAAAGTGATTTTCATTAGGTATTTAATAGGAAGTGGGGGAAATAAGCAGGTGAAATTTATCGAATACACAAGTAAAACTTGTGATTCTGTGGTTATATTCATAAAAACTAGGTGGATCCAAGGTGTTTTGTTGTCCTTAATAATATAAAACAAACCTTGATCGATTCTTCTTCGATATCTTACAAAAAAAGTCAACTTGGGAGCCCATTTCCTTACAGGACTCGTTATTATCTACAACCATCACATGTTTGGAATAATAATAACCGCTTTTGAGTATTAGTATAGAATATTTCAGTAATATTGCATGGTCACATGAGCATAAATTACGGTAACACACACGTTTGGGGCTTCTGCTGAACGATATTTAGTAGTGTATAATAATAGTTGTATAAAAATACGGTGTCAAAAACTGCCCAATGGCCTTAGCCCTCTTTATCGTGCTTCTTGTTGTTTTCACGGAACTAATTCCGTACATCGGTTATAAGGCTATTGCTAGTTGGGTATGTGATCGAAAGCTGGAGCTTTTAGTGGCCTTTAAACGGATCTATTATAGCTCACTGGTTGCACTCGTGTCTTCGCCCAAATAAGGCTTATGGTATATACCTTAACCTATTCAAAGCGGACGTTATTCATAAGCAGAGGCGACTAAAGAGGGAAATTCTGCATGTCAAACATGAATTGGCGCGGACTAGTTCACAGGTTTGCTTTACGTTCTTGTTATTGCAATATTTTTTTACGGTTTTATCTCCATAGAAGAATTATTGACCATAATACGCGCTTTTTACTATTTCAAGAGAATTCTTTATATTCGCCATATTTTGTATTAATGATTTTCTTTCTTCCTACTGTTTATTACATAGGATCAATTCGCCAAATGGGCAAGACTGAGACGAAAACTTGACGGCAAAATGAGTGACTTAGATAAGATCCGTAAAGTATCGAACTTCTTCATTGTTATGGTGTTATTCTGCGGGAATTTATTTATGCTGAATTCTTGTTCAAACAGTAAAGGCACTAGGATATATGAAAACCGGATTTGAATTAAAATTCACAACTTTCTTGTGGCTAAGCATGTGTATAGTACCGGTACTCCTTTTCATATATTGTTGGTCTATACCAGTTTTCTATTTACCGAACGGCTGGTTTGGTCCAGCAACTATGTTCTTTACGTTGCCATTTGCACCATCTGGTAGGGAATAAAGTATTTTATCTATAGCAGAGTTTACCATCATTTTATCTTGAGTTGATCACTAATACGACAGTTTATTTTCATGGTTACTACGAAGGGTCGGTCGGTGTTCTTGCTTGGTATTTTGTTTGTCGTCACGTCATAAGAAAGATCGTAATGACAAAGAGAAATACTATAATGCTCTATAATTATTACATTCCTGGAAAAAATAATGGCGGTTAGACTTTTTTTAATAAAAATATTTGACAAAACAATTTGTAGAACATTCAAAAGCTCTTCATTATACTGTAGAAAATTTAATACGTGGTATGTCATCTTTCATCTTAATACGATATTTAATACGAATTGTCATGCTACAAATACTGTTATTGATAGCCTCTAACAAAAGATTTTACCCTTCTTTCTCTATTAATGCAATAAACTTATTTTGATATGCTTTTTTGTAACAGGAATGCCTTCAAACAGCCCAAACACACAATAGCATACTGGGGGAGTTTGGGACAAAACCCCCCCCAATATGCTATTTGTGCTGTATGAGTCCCCTCTCTAGCCTCAGAACTATAGTGATTTTAATATATCAAAAGATCTTCTAAAGGCTCTTAGCTTATTAATTTCTATTTCAACTTTTTTATAAATTTAATAAATCTAATGAAAACAATATGCTTCTGTGCGGGTTGGCTCATTAAACAACATATTAATCGTATAAAAATAAGCCCAACAGTCCTTATTCCCCAAAAAAGTCTAATGGTTCTTACTCCCCAATGGACAATATTAAGGAGTATTTCGTTATTGCCGTGTAAAAAATTATGCAACACCTACGGAATAAGTTTAGCAGTCTTTACTACTTCATTAACAAGTCTTACAGTTGTCCCAATTCCCAGGATGTGCTGCTCTGTAAGATAAACCATACTGCTAACAAAAATAGTATATCAGGAACTGCTTCTGCACGGGTTAGTTAGCTCATTAAATAGCACATAAGTCTACGAAAGCAAGTCTATTCCCCACCTTAATATTATAGCACTTTTCAAAATAATAAAAAATTTTTGAAAACGACGAAAACAATTTTAGCCAATATAAATACAGCCCTGGCAAAAGTAATGGCGGTCAGTTTTTGTGACGTAATGAGCTCAGCTTGAAAGATAAAAATAAATCCAAAAATTCTAATGAAAGCCAAACATTAGGGCTACAAATTTTATTAATTACTTAATATTTAGTATGGCCTCCTTCAGCATCAATACAAGCTTGAATTCTATTTTTCATACTACTAATGCTGTTAACTATGACTTTTTTCTCGAGACCATCCCATTCCTCCCTAATTAAATTTAAAAAAACGGACTGAGAGATTTTTACTTTTTCCGCCACCATTTTCTTAATGAGTTTTTCAATATTATGCTTCAGAACAGCCCAGACATTCTCAATTGGATTGAGATCTGGACTGTACGAAGGCCAAGGAAGAACACGTCGTGGAAGACGAGATTTCAAGTCGCTCTGAACGTCATGAGATGTATGTTTTGGGTCATTATCCTGCTGAAATACCCAGTTGTGACCAGAAGTTATCAGCATTATCGTATAAATGATTGTTGAGGATTTCCCGATATACAGTAAGTGGCGATTTAAATTCTCTGTGAATATTAATATATGCATTCCTTAATGTTAATCGCAGCCCAAACGCGAGCTTTAAAGGGATGCTTCACCATAGGTTGGACAGGGTTTTTTTCGCGTGACCATGCACCCCACTTTATTCCAATTGTAATGTAGTGGTCACGTGCCCAGGTTAGACGGTTGGCTTTCGCTTGCTGCGTTAAAATAGGCACTTTGCGTGGTAGAACTGAAGTAAAACCAAGCTTGTTAAGGCTTTGGCGAATAGTGCGCTCACTAACGTCTAACCCTGGGTATTTTGTTTCCAGCATAGTCTTCAATTCATTAGACGTCAGTGAAGTGGTTATGTTTAATAATCATTCCAATTTGGCGACGTTGTTCAGGAGATAATTTCGTGGTCGGCCAGATCGATGAATTTTGGGCAATTGACCATTTTTTCGAAGTATGGAAACATAACGCTCACAAGAATGTAAAGGAATCCCAGTTTTGTTTTTTTGTTTTTTTGAAATTTCTTTTGCATTACGAACGTTTTGTTTCCAAAAAGACTTAACAAGTTCACGGTTTGTTTTTTAATAGGTGTAGGTGCCATTTGAAAATTAAAGTGAGCGTAAAGACAGTTTGTACATTTGCGTTTTATTGTTTATATTTTAAATTACTGTTGTCCTGCTCAATTTGGTGTTAGTAAACAAACGCCTAAAACGCGATATCAAGATGCTATCAACAAAAAACAAAATCGCCTCATAATCGGTTATGATCGCTGGTGTAACAACCCAACAAGTTTTCTTTTCTTGCCTTGCGCTAAATAAAGAGGTAAAGTTGTATTAAGTAGGCGTCTTCTACTCTTCAGAAAGGTTTAGTAATCACTGGCTCGCAGAAGTTTTCACGAAGTTTCACCTGTTTCACGTTATAATCGCTGTTTTCGCAAAAAAAAAGTTGTGACCAAATGTTGTGTGACTGCAGAATTTTGAAAAGAGCGATAATTCTAACAGACCCTGCAAAAATCCGCGAAATATCCTAATCCCCAGATAATGAAAATATGGAAGAAGAAAGAAAAAAAAAACTTATCTCAGTTCAAAGCTTCAGTTTGAAGCCTATAATAGTATTGAGTAATATAGCCGCAATCAGAAGCAGCTGGCTTACCGCATCGGAGTTACTAAGATTGTCTATAATAATTTTCGGCCTACCTTCACTATAAAAGATTATGTATTTTGAATATGATAACAATAAAGGTAGACTAGAAGCAACATTAATTTTGTCGAGACGCTTGTTCAAACAGAAACTTTATTGTATGCAAAATTACACAAGTAGAGTATATATACACAGTGAAATTCACTTTAACGAAGACATTCGTTCCACGATTTTGCTTCGTTAACAAAGTTCGCTTAAGTGAACTGTCTTTTATATGAAATATATGAATTCGTTCTGGAAAGAACTTCGTTAAAGTGAATTTCACTGTGCACTATGAAAGAGTGCTGAAAATTTCATATGTGTGTGATGGCTAAAGCGGAGCAATCACATTGGTTACTCGTATGTCAACCAATAAAATGACGAAACCTGGAGACTATAACGAAGTTTTTTCGATGTCCCGAATCCTTGTCTAATAAATATAACGAAGTGAAAAACCTGGTTAATACAGAGAGACCTCTATAAGTGCACCCTCCATAAGTGCACACCCTCCATGTTCTACACGCGCAAGCAATACGCGTTCAATCCAAGTGATAAACCATTGTACCCCAAACGGGAGATTACCGGATTAATCCCTTGGTAATAACCGCCGAATACTCGAGAACGATTCTATATATAGGATAAACGTCATTCTACGGTGAAAAAGCCCGTAAGTGAAAAGCCTTGCGATTACAAGGTCACTAGCTGTACACTTAGATATTTAACTTGAATAGGAGGCGCCACGCTCCGTCGAGACCAGTTAAATCCCAAGTGTCGATTATTTTTCTGCTCTCCCGCAGTAGTCGGCACGACACAATGCTTGAAAATTAAATAACCACCCATCTTGACTGAATGTCTTCGATCTCAATGCTTGCAAAAGATTTAACATATGTACAAATAAAATATTTATTATATTGACATTTTACAGTTGGGAATCCCTATACTTACAACTTCCTCTGTTTGAAATGCTAAAAGTAAGCCTGTTACAATGTCATCTCTTTCTTTTGCTAATGCTAATCTTTGTGCAGTTTTTAAGACTTGTTCAAGACTAAAGGATTGCCTAACCATCTTTTCTTTACATTGTAATTGTGTTGTAAGCAATGATTCAAGTTGCTCAAGCTTTTGCATGTTTCAAAGTTCCATCCTATATCATAGTCCATGAGAAAGCTGGGTCGCCTTATAGCACAACCTGAATGAAGTATTCGAGGACACAGTAGGGGGAACCAAAATCTAAGTGCACAGTAGAAATTGATGCAACAGCTCCGGAAAAGGAATTGATGGACGAGAATCATGTAAGTATCATATGGGGCATGCTGCAACAAAACCAAAGTGAACATTCTATAAATGAGGGGCTGATTATGATGTGGCTGTAAAATTGACCAGTGTGACTGAAAAGTAATGATGGTGCTCATTCATAACTTATGACTTGTTAATTTTAATGTTCACTTTATCATACCAGAATGTGATGAATAAAAACCATAACAGGATTAATATAGGATTATCTCTATATAAAAAAAATATTAATATGAAATTAATTTACATTAAATCCACTATTACTATGGAACCCAAGAATTACAGCACCATTAGAAGCATTCTAAAGAAAGCTCAAGGAGAAAAGATTGCTCCATACGTTTTTAAAATCAATGGTACCCAAACTCTCCAGGACTATCTAGATCAAGAAAAAATCACTTATGAAATTTACCAAGAAGAACGAAAAATAATAAATCATAAATGAACATTACTACCAACTTATAATAAACCAAGGAAGAAAAGAAGACTGGCAGAATAAACAATCAAATTATTATTAATCATCATCTTCATCATCCTTTTCTTCCAGTTCAGCAGGTCCTTCTCATCATTTGGCAAGGAGTTTTCTTTTTCAGATAGCTCAACCTAAACTAGCTAAAAGAAGGAGCAATGCTCCTCCTGCAGCTCAAGCTGAAGGATTATTAGTTCTTCAGAAACCTTCTCCTTTGGAAGGAGGAGTAGTTTTAGTTCCTTGTTTAGCATAAGAATGAGTTAGCCCAACCTCTTTCTCATACAAATATCTTCTCATTCCATCTTTGGTAAAATTAGTACCATCACCATATACATAAACATTTCTGTCTAATACTTTTCTATTATCATTTGAGTCTGTTTTACCTTCCATTTCACTTTTTGTCTTTTCTTTCTCTGCAGGATTTTCCAGTGAATGGTTTGAATTGCTATCTTAGGCTTTTGAGTGAAAAACCAAGTTAACTTTTTATTCTCCCCACTACCTTTTGGATAAATAGGTAAATTAGAATCAGTGGCTAGATTAGTTTCTAAATAAGCCAAAAAACTATTCTTATTAGAAAGGTTATTGACTACATCTTTGATTGCACTAGCATTTGAGAAAAACTTATCTGAACCTTCTATATCTCCCCATTCATAAACCAGACTGGTAGGAATAATGTCAACACTGAGAGCTTGGCAAAGCTGACTGTTAGTAATTCTTTTTCTTATTGGTTTACTTAAATATGCTTCGATTTGTTCTAGTTCTGACTTTTCTTCCACACTTAACTCTCGAGAAGTGAAATTATTTAACAATTAATAAGTAGTTTCATAAAGTCTCTTCACCAAAAATTCCCCCACTAGGGGTAACTCTCTTTCAAGACTGTATTCTTCCAATGAAACCATTTACACCTAATCCCTTTCAAGACGTATATTTTGGAAATTTGCTTTTTCCCAATTATCCAAATCAGTTCTATAGATTTGAGTAGTAAAGGTGGAATCAACAGAAAATTTAGGCTCATTTTCTTTTTTCTCAATTCAATCCAGTAGACAATTCATGAATATTAAATCTGCACAACTATACTTTTGACCACCTACAGGAGACTGTTCATAAACTACTTTGAATTGTTTTCTAACTTCTACCAGATTATTATTGCAAAGAGTTTCAATTTGGTTTTCAAAGTCAGCTAACTTTTGTTGAGCCTTATTTTCTGCAATAGTAATTTCTTTTCTTTCTTCTAATTTCTTACCTCATTTGCCTTTCAGGGAAGTAAAGGGGGACTATGGGGTCTCCTTGGGGGACCCCTTGTCTAATTGGGAATGGGGAACTTAGTAATAAAATTGACGATAACAATAATATTTCCTGTACATTTGATTCCACAAATAAGTCCTTGTCCCTTGCAATATTTAGTGACTACTTCTGATAATTTCTAAAAAGTAGAGACACATTAGTCTCTCCCATGTGTAAATCATTCACTGAATCTCCATTTTTGAAAGAAAATTCACATGGAACATTATCAATTATGATATCTTTCTCCTCCTCCTCAATGAATGGATTTTCCTCTTCCAATGGATATATTATTGGACTATCCAGTGAGGGAGTGGTATTTCCATCCAACTGGTGATACTGCTTTCTTCTTTTTCTGACATCCTGTCTGTCATGAGCAAAGTCACCCAATATTACTGATGCTTCATTATGTTCCACTACCGTCTCTTTCAAGACATCAAGAGACCTCTTATTCTACATAAACATAATATTTATTAGTGATAATATTAAATCTAGAAGTATAAAGTCAAACCCTTTACCATAATTCCGACTATTGCATGGCAAAAATACCCGCCCAGAAATCATGGATACGTCCGCCAGGATTTGAATCATTCTCAAAAAAAGAAGAAGTTATTTCGGGTTACCTTATGCTTCTGCAAGTTTATTATTATTGAATATATAACTAACTATCCCGAGCTGTAATCATATGGACGGATTTCGGCGGAACGTATTCCATCACCACTCAGGATCTTAATCCAGTAGCTAGCCAAAATCCCAGCGGAACGTATTCCATCACCACTCAGGATCGCAATCCAGTGGCTAGCTTCTCAGTTGGACAAATCACATGGGCAGATACCGTAGTTCCCCATGCTCTTTGTCAACCGCCATATAATTCGCAAAAGCTGAGTGGTTGGAATAATCCAACCAGTGAAACAAGTATACTAATAGAAGGTGCCTACCTGAAACTGCTTCAACATTCTCGATGCCGATTTCTCTTCCCATGATCCAGTTTCCACAAATATTGTTCCGAGATTAATAGCAAGAAACGATTTTTTTTTTACGGAAAAACGCACGGAGTGCGCGATGCATTATTGTTATGAATTCTGATTGACACGAACTTTGAGAAGCATCATATAATGAAACGTTAACACGAAACGCTGATTGGCATTAAAACTTTTATTACGTAATAATTTAGGGATGCGCACAAATGTCATTTACCCTATTACTATTACTATTACTATTACTATAAAGAAGTTTGTTATTTACGTGACGGTTTGCCGATCATTTTCATATGATCGAGGGGTGTGCTCACTTGGTTTTTTTTTTCCAATTATCATCGCAGGCTAACTCTGCAAATTACCTCTGCAGTAAACCAGCCCTCACTATCACTAAGTGGATATAACCTAACTGGCTAAATCTGCTAAAAACTGATTATGATGTCTAAATAATAATAAGGGCTAAATCTGCTAAAACTGGCTAAGTGGTCATATCCTAAGTGATCATAACCTAACTTAAGTGGAAATAACATAGTCATGCTTCCTGTGCAGGCCTGTGAGATGCCGTCTAGTAATATGCAAATAGCTAGGATAGATTCTAGAATAACTGTATTTTTTGCATTACAGATACAACGAATTTGGCTTACAACGAAGCTTTTGTGAATGTGATGTTGCGGAGAAAAAACAACAAAAGTATTCTTTTGCACGACAATTATCTTTGGTGCTTTGTAATCATTTGGAAAGATTAACACCCCTTGGCCTAGACGGCATTTCTTCTATTAGAATGCGTAATTTACACAGGTAACAGGAAAGACTTCAGAATTTTGCGAAAGTTACATTTTCCATGCTTCCTGTAAAAACTTTACGTGAAGTTGGACAGAGCTACTAATACTTAATATTTTTGCCTATTGTTTATTATTTAATGTTAGAGTTACAGCAATGTAGATATGTATGAGTGTTATGTTACTTTCAAGCGATGTTCCGTCTCCTCATTTTAACCTTCAATCCATGACAGTAAAGCGTAACCTTGTATATAATCGCCGGTTTCTCATTTTCATTAGCCAACTCTATGTCATATCTATTATATAATAATGCTAGAGCAATTTTCATGAAAAACATTGCATACTGTCTACCCGGACATATACGCAGCCCTCCTCCAAATGTTTGAAAAGAATTTTTAACAACATCTTCAGATTGAGAAAGAAACCGCTCAGGAATGAATTCCTCAGGATTAGACCAGTGCGCAGGGTGTTTTTGAATACCAATCACGTCTATCATGAATTGCGTTCCCGCCTAAATGAAGTAAAATAACCAATAGTTAATCGATGCTAATCAGCCATTACTGACAAACGGGAGGCAATCATTTCATCGACAATCATTTCACCGACAATCATTTCACCGACAATCATTTCACCGACAAATATTCACCAACATTATTTCGAAGTTATCCTTTTTTGGTAGTTAATTGTCGGTGAAATGTACTGTCGGTGAAATGATTGTCGGCGAAATGATTGTTGATGAAATAATACGGACCCCTGACAAACAGTGTTATTTTCAAATTACCTTCCATGTATATCCACCAATATCGTCTTCATGTGATGAAACTCTGTGGTTAATGGGCCCAGGAGGAAAAAGACGCGAGGCTTCTTTGATAACAGCTTCAATGTAAGGAAGATTATTCAGGTCATCAAGTTGCAATTTTCGCGTCGGGTCATCTCTGAACAGTGGATCGACCTCCTCCCGTATTTTTTTCTTTACTTCTGGGTTACGACAGACCAAATATATGATAAAACACATAAGACTGGCAGACTATAGATTGATGGAATCAGCGGTTAGTATCATTCATTTGCTGTCTTACATATTGAATCACATGTAACATACAGTTTCTATAGCCGCAACGAGCACTTCTAACAATAGTCCTCTAATCTCATCGTCAGTCATGGCTCTGTCTATTCTATCCGATCCTCTCTTCACGCTAGGTCCACGAGGGGTATTCGCAACCAACAACAATTTCAGCATATTGTAGTCGCCTTTTAGTCCATCATTGTTATCGTAGCTTTCAACCTCGGCTCTCTTTTCTCTAATCATCGTCAACAGATTGTTATTCAACCAGTGGAAATTTTTCAGAAACTTCCTTCTTTGTATCAACCCAAGCGGAGTGCCCAATCTAATAAAGTCGGGAACAAATATAGCCGTGCGTAGAGTGTCAAAGAACGTCGACCACGAATCGCGGAGTTCCTTGGTCTCATTCAAAGTTTCGGCAGAATAAGATACCGCGGAATTAGGTGAGCTAGAGAGGAGGAGGGATGCAAGACCGCAACCGTTCTTACCAGTAGATAAGAATACTATGCTATCTAGAGATAATGCATGAAACCAGTCTGGAAGATTAAATATTTTATCGTCGCCGTCTATGTATCCCAACTCTGCCCAATATCCTTCCATTTCCTCAAACACCTTCGGCACGCGTTTGATAGCATAATCAATGAACTCGGCGGATGTTAACACGAGTTTCATCATCTTCCTATTGAAAGTCCAAACATCCAAATCTCTATTCAGAAAAACTCCGTGGTTTAACATTTTTATCTCGCCGATTGCTCTATTTCCATTTGTTCTACATTTGTAATTACTCTTCGTTGATATACTAAATAGTTTGTCCACCAACTCGGCTCTCGAGACCCATACGTGTCTCTCGGATCCCACGTACACCTCCCACATGTCCCCATACTTCTCGCGAAGAGCAGCAGCCCATACTACCATGTCCCCCTGCATGGCGTAATGAAGAAGATTGCCTAGTATAGGTAAAGGAAGCGGGCCAGGAAGCGCGTTTTCTCGGTTGAAGTACAAGATATAGAAGTTTATTGTGTATAGAATAAAGGCGAGTATCGAAAATACGAGAACATTTTGATAATCAAGAGTCGTGAAAAATGCAAGAACGTCAGTTGATAACATGGTGGATAACAATATTATTCGGGGAAGATACAACGTTGCTTATATATGTTCTGGCCGTAGCGAAATTCAAAATAAGCACGTTTTATTTCGCTATTATCACATAATAATAAACAATGTGGTTGTGATAATATACAATTTCTCCAGCGCTTTCCCGTTATCCGCGATGACATATTTGAATACAAGTTAAAAAGTTAATTGATACATTATAATTCAATGTTCTCTCAATCCAATTTTAGTAAGATCTGTAATAATAAGTTACTTTTTATAGGAAATAATCGATTCTCTATAATAATAATGAATTAGAAACCTAATATTAATATGGCTTATAATAATTATCTCTCGGCTGCATCAAAACGTATTCAGTTAGTTATACTGTGACCCTCGGTTTTAATGTAGTATGTGCATAGTTGGACACCACGTAATTTGTATCCAAATGCAATACAATTCTTTTGACCTTTATTTGGCTGATGACAAATGTAAGAAGCCCTCCGTGTTGTGAAAACAATATCATTATATGCATATTATTGACTATCGCATCCACTTATCGATATCGTTATTTAAGAGTTGTTTGTTTTTGCATTGGTAAGACTTTTACTATAACGATAATGACAACCCTGCAATTGTACTCAAATTCGACAATGCTACTATTTTTACCGATATTGATCGCATGATGGCGCTGCAAGAAAACGCCAAAAAATTCATAACGATAATAATTTTTAATTGCTTCTTTGGGAGATCTGATTTATCAGCCGCTAACTCGCTTATTATTATTCGAACAGATACAGTAAAAGGCTTCGTTATTCTGATTCTTATTGTCTTCAACGCCGATTTATAACTCGTAAAATACAAGCGATTGGGTAATGCAATTAACATTTCTACCAGGACTTGGTAATCCATGGATTTATACGTTTTTATCAACGGTTAGTTTGGTTTCCACTCTTTCTTACATTACCGGGTACACGTGGTATTATACCATTCGTCGCCAAATAAGTGCGACCAATCAATCCCTAAAAGATGCGTCTTGCGATCTCAATAATAAACAGTTCTCTTATTAGTACGCATTTTCTTTTTTTAAGACGTCAGCTGGCAACCATTTCAGGATCATTTTAGAGCAACCACATTTGCAATCTATCCAAGAAACATTTTGAATGACGTATCCTCCGTAGAATAACGGGTTTTCTCTGTGATTGGACGATTATTTAAGGCATTTCATCGCGTTCAGTTACCTACCTCTCTTGCTAGTCAGTAGGAAAAAAAATCTAAATTATCGTTATTAACCATGTCCTGTCTCTTTCACACAGTAGGTCGTGTCCTGTGAGATGTAAACTGGCATAAGTAAGTCCTGTTTCTTCAGCGAGTTTAGAAGGCTTACTGTAACCAGATTCTCTCGCAGGAGACAGTATAATTACTGAACGCTGAGATTATTCCATAACACTCTGAAGTTGTGGCTAAGGATTACTTTAACCCTATAATAATAATAATAATGTAAGCCATTTCAGGGTTAGTCAAAAATTGTGGTTAATGGACACCTATTTTGACTTGCGCACATAGAAGACAATGCACTGACTTGTCATTCTGAAGAACTGAGGTTACCCCATAAATAGTTGTGGTTCATGACAAAATGCCAAGAATGTGTTTACCTTTTGCTATACGTATTGTTTACAATTTAGTTTATTTTAATGCAAGCAGTTAATGAGTCAACAAGAAAGTTACTTTATCCCTTGCAGATATGATGTCCAAAGGGCCAAGTATCAGGATTGTTCAAGGATCTAGTAAAGATTGGATGGTGGATTTAATGTACACTCCCCTGCCAAAGTATTTGACACTTTTGATGATCTATATTATTTCTCAAACATTCAAATCAAGTTTTCTCAATAACTGTATTAACAACTTTTAATAAAATTTATATTTTTGAAATGCTCTTGTTATGAACTTTTTATTTATAGTACTAATATATTGTGGGGTTTCCTCCATTATCAATTACAGCTTTAACTCTTTGAGGCATGCTATTTACTAAATTTTCTAAAACACTTTCCTCAATTTTCACCCACTCCTCCTCCAAAACTGAAGCTAATTCTCTCTTATTCCTTGGGATGGGTTTGTGTTCATGCAATTTTCTTCCAAGATGATCCCACAAATGGACCAAGTCTATTTTTAACAAAACAGCCCCAGACCATTACCCCTACACCATTACTCTTTACAGTAGGCACTAGACAGTCTACATCATATTTCTCATGTGGCCTACGCCAAACCCATTGCTGACCATCATTTTCGAATAAAAGAAACCGGGATTCATCACTCCAAATGATTGTATCCCATTGTTTATCCCAACCTCTACGTTCGCGACACCATTTTAAGCGTTTTATTCTGTTGTTTTCGGAAACAAAGGGGTTTCTCTTCCCAATACGGCCAAAAAAGTTATGATTATGAAGTACACGTCCAGCAGTACGAGTACTAATCTGGGTAAGGCCTAGGCTGTTGAACAGCTCAGTAATCTCTTCGAGCAATTCTTTCCTATTATCTTTGGTTACTCGCACAAGAGTTCGCTCTTCACGCTCAGTTAAAAGGGGTGGTCTTCCTGAACGAGGAAGAGGTTCAGTGAGCCCATCATTTTCAAATTTTTAATGATAGCAATGCAAGTAGTTCTGTTTATTCCGAGTATTTTTTGAATGTCTGTAGCGCTGTGCTTGCCCTTGTGAAGCCCGATTATCATTCCACGCTCAAAAACAGTAAGTTCACGAGACTTGGGAATTTTTTATAAAAATGAGTAAGTAAAGTTAAAAAGTGACTTTTATAATTTTTGAAAGCTACTGTCTTTGTCTGTTTGAGAAAAAAAAAGAGCTTGAAGTTAAGTTAGATGTATGACGAGATATCTCAATTTGAATGTAGGCTACGGGACACCGATCACAGAGTGTCAAATACTTTTGGTCATATTAATATGTTTACAACCATATATGGTCCGGCGCAAAAAAGTTGATACACGAAATTTGTCACCTGAAATTCGTCACATGTACAAAATTTGCTAATCGAATCATTTGAGCAATAAAATGTAAGGAAAATGTCGAACTTCAAATATTCGTAACAAACTTGATCATTTATCTTTCCCATGGAAGACCTAGATAGAGAGCGAAGTTCTTTAACCAATAACGAAAAACGAATGATTATTCGCGTTCATCAATACTTTTAAATACTCGACAGTGCCAGACGCAACGTCCATACGCAAGGAGGTTGCTTCGGTCCTCGGAATTGGCGAGGCAACCCTTGCGCGAGTGGTTGCTGAACATAATAGCAGTAAAAATGAAAAATTCTCAGAGCGTTCAGAGCGAAGAATGCAAGGGCGTCCAAGGAAAAGCCCCGATC